GTGACATCGTAGTGTTCCGAAGGCTCGTAAAAAAACCCGGAAAATTTCGGAAAAATAATAGGTTTTTACTGTTTCTTTTTTTTCCGGAGGCTTGGAAAAATAGGAAGAGTATGGAAATTCTAATGTTGTGACATCAATGTTGAGAACAAGGAAAAATAAGCAGAGACCTACATTTTTTTCTTTTCCTATTATTATTACTTTTATCACTATTTATTATAAGAGTAACAAGATATGTTTTACAATCACAAGAAAATAATACTTCTTATCAGTCATTAAGAAGTCTCCCTTCTCTTCTTTCTCTTTCTCTACAACTATATTTGTGAAGAATAATAGACAGCACAATGTTCAAAATTGGGACATAAGATGTCTTTTAGAGACATCTTCAAAACTATTTAAAGACTATTTAAGGACTATTTAAAGACAACTTAAAAATACGTAAAAAATATCTTACGTCGCGATTTCGAAGATTTGTGTTATCTGGGTAGTTTATTGCACTATCACTCAAAGCGCCGCGCGTGTTTATAATCAGATCTTATATTTAAGGCCGTCTTAATTTCATTTTCAGATATTTCGTAGTCAATAAAATGACCGGTACAGTATCCGAAAATGAATTTAAATATCTTATTTTCTTTATTTATAGTAATAATATAGTCGACTATGATTACCTAGAAGTTAGTTGAAATCACTAAAAATAAAGAAAATGTGAGTGGGACAACATATGTCCTATTGTGATGCAAAGGATTAACCGAGATTTAAATCTTTCTGGTGAGTCGCTGGGTCTAATTTTATAATTAAAATTATAATTATAATTATAATTTTTCTTGCATCACATTGGTGACTACCTTGGTACTGTTTATTTAATGATTGTTGCCTTATCATTATTGATTCTGAACGGAAATGAAACGTAAATTGCATTACGTAATGTATTTTTGGCGAATTTTTGGCGAATTTTTGGCGAATTTTTGCCTTTTCAGTTATTTTATTTCACCGTACGTATTTCACCATTTTATTTCACCGTATTTCAAGATAATGTACTGAAGTAAACGATAATAAACGATAATAAACGGTCTTATATATAAGACCCGACTATGAGTACCAACCTAATATAATATCTTTAAGAGAGATGTTAAGGAGAATTAAAAAGTATGTACAGTAAAAGATAAAATATCCTAAAGTTCTAAACGGAGAAATCTGAGGACGTCTGCGTATTCTGTAGATAAAAATAATATCTTTCTCAAAATTACAGGGTCTCCGGTTTTTCTTTCTGGAAAAAACCGGATTTTTTTCTAGAGGAAATTTTTCTGGAAATTTAAGAACACTAATGACGTATATTCATGACTTTTATATTGTACTGGCAGGGAACTGTTTCAGTGCTTAGCGTCGCAATTGTTAAATGTATACTACCTCATTAATATAAATACTAATGCCTGAATGGCCGAGGTTCAAGAGTGACCTGTGTCCGTATAATTTATTTTTCATTTTTCCTTCTTCCTTTTTTTTATTACTTTTATCATTAATGTCAATCGAAACAACGTACACAATCTTTTTATGAATATATAATTAAAACATACTAAGCAATAATTGAGTATTAGCCAAACAATGACAACTGAAATACTGTCAGTATTTAATCGCTGTAAATTCCTTAGCAATTCTCGACGTTAAATTTCTGTAAGGGATGTCTCGAGACGATCTCGGCGACGTTCCCGCTATCTTCCGAAAATGTCGCATTTTATCTCTAAAGAAGTAGTTACGATGAAAAGTCACAGCGTTATCGGAGATGAAGTAATAGCCAGGGAATGTTGGAACACACCCCGCAACTTCGCGCGATGACTCGAGGGACTTGTCGCGAAAGATCATCGCACGGTTTCGAGCACAAAAACGAACGCAAACGCCTTTTTCCTCCCCGTGTTCGCGTCCGCGATATTCGATCCGCGTTTGTACTTTTGCGCCGCGGCTGGACCGCTATGTATATCACACTGTTAAATGAGACATTCCGCGCTAACATGTTATCACGCGCGTTAACGTATATTTGAGTGTGTGCTATTAATGCGCCTTCATAGGAAAAACGGAGGCGACGAACCGTGGCGACGCTGAATGTCGCACGGGAAACCGCGCGAGAAGCGAGAATCACCGTCTCGATTCGTGACAATGGAAAGTTACAACGACACTTACCGAACACTTCTCGGTTTACTCGTAGAATTTTAGAAGGGTAGATAAGGCTCGTTTTACATGCCTGCACAGATCCAATAGCACCGTCGCTCTCTAATCTCGTTGTCTTTTCGCTACGTCACCCCATGATACTTCTTCCCGCGTGAGCGCTTGCAGAGGGTAATACTAAACCGAACCATAAGCATTGTGAGCTGTGTGAGAAGAAGATACTGATAAAAAAAGAATTCCGAAGGCATCCAAGAACGATTGTTGCGTAGAAAATGGTACCAGATTTCAGGCAACAGTTTCTCCCGATACTCTTTATTACTTACTTATTACTTACTTATATTATCTTACATTTTACCTTTACCTTTATTGCATACTTTATCTTTTATCTTTTATTTTATCATATTTTAGTCAAATTTACTTGGATTAAATACATTTTACTTGGACCAAGTAAATATTGGTGTAGAGAAAATGCTACATTCAAATAATATTTAATTAATTCAAGTAAAATCTTGTCGAGGGGTGTTGGAGCAATTATTTACTTGAATCTGGCATTTCTTCTTCTATGTAGAAGTTACTTGGTTTTATTTTTATATTGTATTTTTATACTGTCACTCTAGGAGGTTACGAGCAAAAGTGCGTATAAATATATTTTACAATCAGATATCTCAAATCGTCTGAAACTCAACGGAATAGCATACCTTGCCAAATTCGTAAAATAATTATATGCCGGAATAATTTCGAGGTTGATTTAAAACTCAAATACACATGAAATTACCTTTGTTATTTGTGTTTTTTAATGCAAATATCTAATTATCCTTTTTAAATTTATGCAAATTACAATTACAATTTATGCAAATATTCAAAGCAACATATTTTAACCTTCTTTTTATCGCGCACTTTCTATGCACAAATTTATATATATTTTTACACGTCGATTGTATATTACGTATAAAACATTCTTTTGAGATTAACTGGAAATATCGGTGACATGCCCGCATCGTTTCTCCTACTATTAACTGTAGACGCAGTTTAGATTTCGAAAGGAAACGTATCTGTTACCTAATAGATTCGCGAATAGATCGTAGTTCGCGCAGTTTAGCTTTGTGAAATAAGAAAGCGCTGCCTGTGGACGTTTTTCAAGGACCTTCTCGGTTATAAGAAAAAGTCTCGCTCGCTTTTTCAAGGAAATATGTCACTCGACATTTTTAACCTTCTATGAATTGCAATATTCTTCATCCGTGAACGGTTGCAAGATGTCTCACAGGTGTCTCAGATGTCACAGGTATGCTAATTTTCTAATTATTCTTCTCTATTTCTTAAAACAGTTTTTCTTTCGTTAGCACTTGGCTAATAGGCACTAAAATACAACAGATTCCATCAATGTCCCATTTCCTAGGCATAGTAACATAAAAATTTCCAATCAGAAGTATTATTTTTGCATCATGACCACCGATAATTTAATGAATTGACAACGATTTTCCAAAGCAGCGGTAATGATATACAATTATTTAAAAATAACACGCTTAACTGGAAATTTTCAATATTGTTATGGGTAAACCTTCATCACCTCCTATGATTTCGACTTTGACATATATTATAAAGATCACCCTCCTGAATAACCTTCAGAAGGTTTATTAAAAAGTTATTGACAAAAAAAATTGGAAAAGTATAATATTTATTTTCAGTACTTACCCATCTCTCGTATTTACCAATAAGAATCACGCAAAGTAAGGTTTCAGCAAAAAATGTTATTAATGTTTACAGGGAAGGGGCTTCGCCCTGATTAATCCAGTCTAATCCTACTCTTTTGTTTCTCTTTGTAAAAGAACTTGGAGATTACTTAGTACTTAGGATATTTGTGTATATAGTATGCATTATTCGTAGATTACCAATTCTTCTCAAGTTATTTCATAAAAAGGCAAAAAAGATACAGCTACATCAGATTAACCAGAGGGAAGGAGCGAATTGCTCTCTATTGAGTATAATTTTTTCATAATGTCATCAAAAATTCAGAGATATAATGTTTATAGTTATCTTCCCGTGCAGCATAGATCGTTGCAATTACAGCAACGTCGCAACGTTGCAAATCGCAACGTAATATTGCAAAGTCATTGCAGAAATATAAAAACACTAGCACACTTGTAGCAATATAACATTAACACATTAATTGCCAGTCGCCGGTTAGTCATCAGTGACTGGCACTAAACTTTCCGCCCGGGCCGCGTCAGTCACCGGTGACTGACAGTATAAATTACGATATAGAACTAAAAAAATTACATAGTTTAATAAGAAATTTCAGGATCGTATAATTAATATACTTAAATATTTCTTATCAAAAAATTTAATTGGATTTGGCTTGACGGAGATTTCCTCCGAAATGCGCGTGGCAGTTAACGTGTTAACATTTCAGCAACAAAAAATCGGAATTCCGTAATTTAATATAATAGTATTAAATTATGGAATTTCGTTTCTTTTTTAGGAGTGGCGTCTTTGATATGGTAATGTGTATTAATATCCATATTTGTTACATATCATCGATTGTTGAGTCGATTTTAATACCTGCCAATAAATATGTCATTACAATATTTTATCAACATTAATGGAATACATTATATAATGGAATACATTATATAAACATAAAAGATATTGTCAGGGCCATTAAGCTTTGTACCTACGATGCTAGACTTTGGGCCGAGATTTAATACTTATGTTGGTAGATATTTGAAAGATACTAAATTTCCTAGATTTTACTAGAAATATAAAAATTACTGGAATCATTTCTAGTAATTTTTACATTGTACCAACAACTCGATATAATATAAAGCATCATGGATATAAGGCCTCATAGTTAGCGTCAGCCGTCCGATCATTAAAGTCAACAGCGACCGCGGTTAGTTGAATACGTGTGGTTAGTAGAGTGGCCGCCGAGATCAAAATCACGGAAGGACATAAAGTGATCATTTTTCTTTTCTGTACATGCTAGAAGATCTCGGTAAGTTTTACCTTAAATCTCAATGTAGAAGAAGTATTTTATTTAGTATTAAAAAGGCACGATAGTAATCAAATAATTTTACATGGAAAAATAAGCTTAAATTTTTCTGCAGATTTCTGAAAATTTAGCTGCAACAGGTAAATTAGTTGTAATATATGGACATCTAAAACTTTAGCAGCACCGTAAATGTCGTTTACGATAACATGCCGCGGCAGCAAAAGAATTTGTTACTGCAGCAAAAGAACTTACTACCGCGAATTAATTTAGCTACGTATAAAATATTTCTTAATAAGTCGATGATTGCAGTAACAACGTATTGTTCTTATTGCACATTTATTACATTACAATACTGACATGATATTTCATTGCAATCTTCCTAAGAGCGGACATTTTAACATTGTGTAATCCCACAGGTGTACCAACACTCCGCAGTGAATTCGCAATATTACAATATTGTAGTGATAGATTCCTGCAATGCGCAGGATTCTTGTAACCTTTGTACCGTATAGGCGGTGTCAAAAATATATATCCTATTTATGAAACTTCTTTCGTTAATAACTGTTAAATGAAGAAACGGCTCAAACTTTTGCATGTTGTTCAGGACTATGTCCCTGACGAAATAATGCAATATCATTAACTTTTAAGGTGGTCGACTTTATGTAAATACTTACCTCATATTTTTCAAATTTCTTTTGTCAATAACTTTTAATAAACAATGACCGACGGCTAACTTCTTCTCGTTTTTCGAATAAATAAAATCAATAAAAGTCAATCGTCTTCGCCTGCATCAACGCATGTCTTGTAATCGTGCAAAAGGAACTTTAATTTTGCGCCAGCAACCAGTATAGTATTAACACATTTGCAGTAAAACAGAACGACTCTAGAGTCCTTTTGAGTGTAATCAAATATTAAAGACATTATATACATCGACAACAGTTCATTGCCTCACGACGAACACGAGCGCACTTCGAGAGTTCGACGCGTGCGAATGGTCAAAAAATCCGACCGAAGTTTCGACTTTCGAAATCGCTTCGAAACGGTTGTATAATTCGTTCGAGTCGTTTGTTGAGAGTTCTACTTGGCACCGTTAGGATGAACACGGATGGAAGTAGCTCAACAATACATTTGTGTTACGGCGCATACACACACGTGCACTACACGCCTGCATGTAGTGGGTATGATTTATGAATAAACTCGGCGGCGTTTATTTTCCCGACGAGTGCCTACCTATCGTCAAAGAGGCTATGACGACAACGCGGTGCGTAGCACATAACGACACATGAAATTCGCGTCAATGCCGAATCGCGAACTTCTCTCTCGCTCTCTCCTACCAGGAGGACCGATCGGGATCCATTCTCCAATTCACAGTCTCCTCTTTCCGTCTTCTCTAATCCTACGCGGAATTCGTAGCGGTTCCTTATTATTCACTTCTATATCATTCTTCGTGTTATTTCGTTCTATGGTATTTCATTCGGCGAGAGAAGGAAGAGAGAGAGGGAGAGAGAAAGAGAAAGGAATACTCCATTCTGACCCTCGGCGATACCGATCGCTTTGAGAACCGTGGAAATAAATGTTCCCCGAGTGTTACTTTTTCAGAGTCCCTCGCAGATGCACGCCGTATTGTCGAGTTTTTTTCGAGGTGGTTGTTTGTGTCGGCGCACTTCTGAAAGAAATGTCTCTCGACCGCGCTCACCGCGCGCGGTCGTGACACCCGACGTCTCGATCCTATTGATCCGGACAATGCAATCGTGTTATTCCAGATCGAATCCACTCTGGGAAGAGGGAATGCTAACTATCGAGTTGTTTTTGTCCCTTAATCGTCGTTGTACGAGATACGCCGAATGAAACCGGCCAGCGGTTCTCCAACTACTTTTACTCGTTCCTAATGTGTTTGGCTTGCCTCACTCCAATATAACATTATATGTAAATTCGAAAAGTTACCATTGAAATAATTCCTTGAGGCGATTTTACGAAGAGTTCCACAAGTGGGCGCCATAAAGATAATTTATCGTCGAGAGCACGTTCATCGGTCAAATGTATATCTTGGAAAAATTAAACTACTCGTTTTGAATATGTGAAATTGTAATATATATAATTTCAAAGGCTCGGAAAGAAATCGGTTTCTTTCACTTTTTTCCGCTATTCTTTTTGATATTTTTTTTCGCAAAAAACGTGAAAAAATGTTTCTTTCTTCTTTCTTCCACGACTTTTTTTCACAGAAAAATGGAAAAAAAGCGGTTTTTTAAATTATAATAATATGCAATCGACTAGAAAGTGTCGAAAAGAAAATCAGCATGTATGAACAAAGATGTATATGTAAAAATGAAAGATGTTAAATTGATATAATGATTAATATCTTAAATCAAAAATATATGAAATGACTATTTTCAAACGATCTGCAATTAATCTAAGATGATTAACTGACAGAATTGCCAACAATAATTTTTATGTAATTTGTCGTCTGACAATACCGAAAAATTAAGAATTCTGTGTATGTTAGCAGAATAGAACAATTAATACTTGACTTGATCATTTGGGAGACTTGATTCCGATTGTCGAAATAATCATTATTTCGACAATGGAAAGATTTAATTCTTTTTTCATATTAACAGCAGCAACAGTGTTCATTCTTAACTGTAGGAAAAATGTTAAATGTCATTTTGAGAGTTGAGCGCCAAAAATAACAAAGTAAGTACATTTTAATTTTTGGGATACCCAACAATATTTTTCGCAACCATTCAACTGTTTTTTAAGTTGTTAGATTTTATAATTAAATTAAAACTCCATAATGGAATGAAAAGTTGGTTGTTTGAAGCTTATTACTATTTCCAATGAATTATAATAATTCTGGATGTAATATGTTTTCTGCTTAATTATTCTATAATCATTTTGATTGATTGATAGGTATACTAGGACAAATATAACTTTTTATCTTATTCTTAAAATTATATTTTGTAATTTGTTTAATTGTACAAGAACCTTTAATAGAGAGATTGATTGTGATTATTCAGTATCTTTTATTAAACTAAAACATAGGGCTGGTACGATCTCTCCGAATCAAATCTCTCCCATCTTCAGATCAAGTTTCCCAGAATAGGTGACTCTTGCTACATTTCGATTGTTTTACTAAAACGTAAATTTCTCTAAGAATTATTCTTATTTTTTAATTTGATCAATGTGATTGTTTTGGTTAGATACATTATTAAAATATATATAATATTAATATAAGAACGTTTTTTGATTTTCTCCTTATTTTTTGAAATATTCAACAAAATCAAAAGGGAGTTCAAATATCTTCAAATTTCTTTACCGATATCGCAATAATTTTTGCCGTGTTAGCGACATTTAGAGAACAAATGGAAAGTTTTCTCCTTTGTTAATACGACGCAGAAGCGTCGGCGAGCGAGTTTCGTGTTACCTGCGGTATCACGCGCGCTGCAAAGTCCGAATCATAAGATATCAGTTTACAGCCGCGAAAAGCGCTTAAGTTTTACTTCTTTTTTTTCTTTTCATCACGTCCCTCCAATATTTCTGAATCTCGAGAAATTGCATGGGATTTTAAAGAGCGCACAGAAGTGCGTCAAGAGCTACAATTTTTCTTTGTCTGTTTTTCTCGATTTTTTTTTATTTACGAGAAGAAAGAAAAATATATTCCAATATAAATATTATTCCAGTTAAAGTAGAAGAAAGAAGGAGAAATAGGAGAAAGAACAAGGAAAAAGTAATTAAAATAGGTATACATGATATATATGTATAATAAATATATGTAATATATGTAACATGCAAAATAGATCAATAAGAAAGAAAGATTTCTTTTCGACATTGTACATTTCATGTAATTTATGCCGTCATTAACCTTGCACACAAACAAGTGTATTAAAATTGCGTAGAAATTTACAAGCGAGTATTGTTGATAAGGTGTCGTCGATGCTAGTGACGATACTAGCGACTGATAGCATGTTAAATATTTCAAAGACATTATCAGTACATATTCAACTATATTAATTCTGAATATATTTGCAACTTGCATTGTCAGACTTGTTTTTTGTGATTATTTGCATTGAAGTCACGGTCGTGATATTATTAGAAACACGACGATCCGTATCTGAGATAACATATATTTTTACGAAGAGGTTTATTATCTATAGACAATTACGACTGTAACCTAGTCGACTAGAAAACTTCAAGACGTGTAGTTGGAAGAAACCGTTCATATCGGACACGCACTGAAAGAAGGTTTTAATAACAAGTGTAACAAAATTCGATTAGTATACGCCGGCCAAATGTTCCATTATTGTAATCAAATAATTTAGTTCTCGTATACTATATACGGAACTACAATGTATACTATATATACGTACCGACCAAATCTTTTATTCTTGCAACCAAATAACTTAAAGATAAAGCATATATTTGTCTATATTCAATATATATATATATATATTTAAATAATTAATTTAATAAATATATAATATAATAAATAATAAAATATATAATATAATAAATAAATAATATAATTAATAATTAATATTTTATGTTAAAACAATTAAATATTCGTTTTTAAAAGACAAAATAAACAGGAATGTCTACAGAAATGTATACAGGCATTGGTATTTTTGCCTTCCATATACTATATACGGAAATATTAGGAATTCCGGTTAGTTTTGAGGGATTTTTTGCAAGAAAAAACGCATTTATTTTAGAGAGACGTTAAATTATATTTTATTCAAAATATTTTCCACCGCTAGCTACAACTTTTTCCCACTTTTCTGACAATAAGTAGATTCCGCGGTAAAAGAAATGTTCGTTTTTTTAAAACAATGCATTCTTCGAGCCATTTTTGTATTTCATCATATGTTTTGAAATGCTATTCATCAAGGCCGTGTTGCATCGATCGTAATAAGCAACAATCTGAAGGAGCACAGTCTGGTGAATACGCGGTATATAGTAAGATTTCCCATTGAAATGCCGATATCTTTAACTACTTTTGCAATGTGTGATCGAGCAATGTCGTGCAACAAAATTACTTTGCGTTTTCTTTGAGCTATTATTAAACGTTTTTGGCTCAAATCGTTGCAAAGCACGATTCAAATCGTTGTTGATAACACTCAATAGTGATTGTTTGATTCGGTTTCAGCAGCTCGTAATACAGGACGTCCCATCAAAGACACAACATAACCTTACTTTCGTGGATGTTGCCTTTCGGAGTCGATGTCGACGACTGGCCTGGATTTACCCACGATTTTTACGCTTAGGATTATTATAGTATTATTAGGTTTTATTAATTAGATATACAAATGAATAATCCAAATTTTTCAACTAAATTCGAGATTCATTTTAAAAGAAAGTAAAACCAATTTTTTAATCAAAGTATTCGCCGTAGCTTTTTATAACTTTAAACCATGTTTCAGGCAGCTGATGAATTCCATCTCGGAAAAATGCTGTCTTTGGATACGATAAACTCGTCAAGCCATATTTGGATCTCATCAGCTGATTGGAAATGAGTATAGAACAAGGCGTGTCGCATTGACCGGAACAAGTAATAATCAGATGGAGCAATGGTGAATATATCGGGTGTTGCAAGATGTCCCAGCCAAAATTCATTATGATGTCTTTTGTCTTAGAAGCAATGTGTGGCCTGGCGATGTCATGCAACAATTTCACAGGATGTTCTCCTTTGCCAATATACGGGCGTTTCTGTTCCAATTTTTGACTCAAGCGGATTAATTGGCGTTGGCAGCAGTCTACAGTAACTGTTTTGCCCGGTTCCAACAGCTCATAATAGAGCACGCCCTTGATATCCTAGCAAATGCAGAGCAGAATCTTCTTTTCGAAGCGATTTTTGGTTTTGCGACCGTTGTTGATATTTCACCGGGATTTACCCGTGACTTTCTGCGTTTCGGATTGTCATAGATTATCCATTTCTCATCACCTGTAACGATTTTCCACAAGAAAGACTTCCGACGCTGCTTATCGAGAAGAGAAAGACACGCTGCCAATCGTTGATTTTTGTTGGCTTCAGTGAGTTCATTTGGAACCCATTTTTCTTCATTTTAGATCTTACCCATCTCTCAAATAGGCGTTTGGAAACGGTTTACTGCGTTACTCCCAACTGCTCTGCAAGCGTTTTGCGTTTTTGTCGAATTCTCAGCGGGCAGTTGTTGCTAAATCATCGTTGTCGCATTTTCGAGGGCCTCCAGGACATTGTTTGTCGATCAGACTAAAATCGCCGCTTTTAAACCGCTTAAACCAAAATACGCACATATCGTACGATACAACACCTTTGCCAAGAAAAGAACAAATCGATTCGTATGCTCTTGCAACATGTTTTCCTTGTTGGAATCATAAAGAATAAAATGTCGGGTATGCACCTTATCCGTTGCCATGTTTGACTCTACTGAACTGAATACTTTTGAAGGTTATGTTAGGGCTTCCGTCATACTAGATGTTATTTTTAATAGCTATACGTCAACACTACATAACCGCAAAAGAGCGGGAAAATTGATTGATTTTTAAATTAATTTCTTAACTGCTTAAAAACATTTGGATTATTCATTTGTACACCTAATATATCCATTTTTCCACGCTAGTTACAATTTGATACAAAAACTGCTTCTTTTTGTGACGAGAAAGCAATGAAGTACAAAGGATTGAACGATTTTGAATAGCCAATTCGGACAATTTGTGTGTAACTCATTTGCCTTCTTTTTGAATCTTTCCCAATGCGCGTAAACAATCCGAAACGGTTGATTTACCAACATTTAATACTTTACCTAATTTTTCAAGTGTTTGAGCTGAGTTTTCATCCAACAACGCCTGCAATTCGGCATCTTCGAACTTTTCCGGTTGACCTGAACATTCTTCGTCTTTCAAATCGAAATCACCACTTTTATCGTCGATACCAGTATTCACACGTTTCAACTCACGGAGCAGGTTCAGAATAAGTTTCTGAGATGAATCGTAGAGCTTCGGCAGCCGTTTTCTTCAAATCAAAGCAGCAAAATAATAAATGAAATAATAAACGAAAATGCTCCTTATCACGTTCCATTTTCAATCGCACTAAACAGTACAGTTATGTTTACGAATAAACCGGACCTGTGTCAAATGACTTGCAGAAATATCCAAGCTTTGAAATGACGCACGCAATTTTCAAAATGTCACTAATAAATTGGCGGCTATAGCCATCTACAGTGAACCCTCAAAACTAACTGTAACGTCTAATAAATTGTTTGGCTGCAGTAAACATTTGGCTGGCTTAACCAAATTTGGTTACCGAATCCTTCTTTCAGTGCGGGAACACAACGAGAAACGCAGAACGCATAATCCGCGAAATTAGACGCGTCATCTTAACAATTCTCGAAGGTAATAAAAGTATGTTTTTCTTTTACAAGAACCAAGACGAACAACCGAACCATGGATACGACGTGTATGTCTGCTAAGTGTGAGATTGCGGCGAGCGGATCTCCCCTGCCAATCCTGTTGCAGCTGATACAAACTCTTTTGGCGGCGCAGTGCGAGTTGGGCAGCAGCAAGAATTATCCACCTGACCGGTCGGAGGAGGTCGCAAGATCCAACATCGAATTCGACTTCGTGGTCGTGGGCGCTGGAAGCGCCGGGGCCGTGGTGGCCAGTCGTTTGAGCGAGATCGAGGACTGGAAGGTACTACTGATCGAGGCAGGCACTGACCCCTCGGCCTACAGCGATATTCCCGCGACCTTCTTAGAATTGCAAGGCACGCCGGAGGATTACGCCTACGACGTCGAGCCCGAGACGTTCGCCTGCCACGGCACGAAGACCGGACGGTGTACGTGGGGAAAAGGCAAGGCTCTCGGCGGCAGTTCTTCGATAAACGCCATGCTTTACGTCCGGGGCAACGAAAAAGACTTCAACGGATGGCGCAGTATGGGCAACGAGGACTGGGGCTACGAGGACGTTCTGCCGTATTTCAGGAAATCTCAAAACTGCCAAGACCCACGTCGCGACTGCATTCATCAAGGGCCGTTAAGCGTCAGATACTTCAACTATACCAAAGAGCTGGCGCACGCAATATTCAAGGAGAGCCTTGGCGAGTTGAACGTACCTGTTCTGGATGTCATGAATGCCGGCAAGTATATCGGATACGGCCTAACTCAAGCGACGGCGGTCAATAGCCGTAGGATGAGCTCGGCAAGAGCCTTCCTGTCGCCGATCAAGGACAGGCGAAATCTATACGTGATGAAGTACACCCGAGCCGACACCGTTCTCATGAACGGCAATCAGGCGGTCGGAGTGCGCATGACCTTGAAGGATGGCACGTCGATCGACCTGAGAGCGTCGAAGGAGGTGATCCTCTCTGCCGGCTCCGTCGCCACTCCCCAGCTGCTAATGCTCTCCGGCATTGGGCCCAAGCAGCATCTACAGGAGATGGGGATACGCAACATCGTCGATCTGCCGGTCGGTAAAAATCTTCAGGATCACATCACCTGGTTCGGCATATATGCGACGTACAAGGACCCGAACGTAGGACCGCCGCTGCCGCCCACATTTTTCCTAGACGAAGCTTATAAGTATCTCATGTATACTGAAGGTTCCCTCGCAAGTCTCAGGTACGATTACCAAGGCTTCATCAACGTGAACGATCCGAACTCCAAATACCCGGACATTCAGTTCCACCATATATTCATATCGCGAGGGCAGAACGCAATTCTGGGATCAGCGTTAGACAAGTTCTACATACACGATGACATAGTGTACGATATATGTGAAACTCTGAACGACAACAGCCTAATGGCATTTGTCCCAAGTCTGTTGAATCCGAAGAGCTTGGGCGAGATACAGCTGCGTAGCAAGGATCCGGCGGATCCCGTCAAGATCTACGCGAATTACTACACCGTGAAGGAGGACATGGAAACGATGTTGAAGTCCATACACTTCGTGAAGAAACTGGTGAGGACAAAAGGGTTTCAGCGGTACGGTGCGAAACTGTATCACGTAGACATTCCGGGTTGCCGACACACTGAACCTGACTCGGACGAATACTGGATATGCAGCATACAACACATGTCTCTGACGCTCTACCACCCCGTCGGTACGGCGAAAATGGGCCCTAAGAACGACCCCACGGCCGTCGTAGACGCCCGACTGAGAGTGCACGGAGTGAATGGGCTGAGAGTCATCGACGCGTCTATCATGCCGACGATCACCAGTGGAAATACGAACGCGCCTACGATAATGATCGGGGAGAAGGGCGCGGATATGATCAAGGAAGATTGGGCGATCCCGAAGGGCAAGGTAGAACTATAGGAAGAGAAGGGGGAGGCACATATTTTTGTGCTTACTATTCTTGTACTCGCTATGTTGGGGTTTTTTTATTTTAAAACATAAGATAATNTTTTTTTTTTTTTTTTTTTTTTTTTAGGTAGAGAAGTCGGATAAGAAACAAATTTGAATTTCCAAACTTAATAACTTGACTGATGGACAAAATAAAATTTGAAATATTTGATGCACCTTGAGAAAGACGTTTGTATTTACTGTTATGCTTGGGTTTCATTGCTTTAAAACGTGATATATTCAGTATAGATAGGTAGGGAATTGTTTTTTATTTTTCTTTTTTTTTTTTAGGAAACGTATTTCGAATAGGAAACGAATATGAATTCCCAAGCTTAATAACTTGCCTAATAAGAGATCTAGTATTGAGATACTTGATGCACCTTGAGAAGCACAAAGAAATCTCACTTCCACTTACTATTGTACATATTAACCCTAGTGCTGGGCGAAAAAGAGGTGCTTATGCGAAGATAACCGGCCGAATTTTACGATTTTACTAGGATTTGGAAAAAGGCTCATAAAAACCAAACGAAAAGCAATATTTAAAAATTATTTATTTTAATTTAAAGTAATGAAATTAGACTATAACGTATTATAAATTTATTTTGAGATAGAGATCTCTCGCAATGCGAATAGTAAAGCGCTACAAGGTGCGGGCCGATATATCGGCTCTGGCACTTTTCGCCAGTGCAGCGAGGGCCGATATATCGGGCTTAAGATATTTAAGGGTTAAGATATTTCGCGCGGCGAAGAGAGCGGTTACTGTGCCATTTGTTCTCGCTTGAGTTTCCGATATATATGAATATGTACATGTAAGACCATCAATAAACAATGATAACTGCACTATCAATAAACAATTATAGCTTTACCCCCCACCACCTCATACTATTCGTTCCCACGATCTTAATTAACGTTAAAATTATCCGGCAAATTGACGTCGTACAAACAAGATATAGCTCAACGCGTTCAACAGGTGTATGGTGAAGTGTAGTATTTCCGACGTATGTTGCTATAAAAAGTTATTAAAAGACGTTCGCGCGCAGAGAATGGTCACTGGGAGAGAGGGAGGGGGGAGGGGGCAGCGTCGCCGTTGAGGAGGGGTAGGGGAATCCCGCGAAGCGGCTCGGTCGCGCGAGAAGGTTGCCGAGCGCGTTCCCGTCTCGCGGGAGGGGAGGCGTCGAAAGGGACGAAGAGGGTACACGCTTCTCGGGAGAGTGGGAGATCTGGAGGGACTGCTCGACGGCCTACAGCGTCGCGCACCGTCATTCCCGTCCGAGTCTCTACGGTGCGCTCGCGAACCCATTCGCGCGCAAGTCTCTTCAGGGCACAACGAACGGCGAGAACCAATTTCCGCGCGTCAGATCGGCGTCGAGAAACGAAACATCCCTTCTCCCTTCTTCTTCATCATCATCACCGTCGAATCCTACCGGTAACATTTTACCAACCGCTTCCTCCGCGACCCTCCTGCCCCTCGGTCGTTGTGTTTCCCTAAAGAGGAAATCACCGATCCCTCGAGCGCCCTTCGAAAAGATTCTGGTTTCTTCGGCGACCTCCACCATCGATCCTTCGGCACTCCCTCGGCACTTATCTCTTCTCCCTTCCCCTTCCTCGTTACCTGCTCGCCGACCAACTGCCCCCACCTTCCTGGTCGGCTGCCCCCCCACCTTGGGGAGACCTCCACGCAGTGTGTACCTTGCTAGCGGCGCTTGCGGAGGGAAGTTAATGCGAAAAGAGGACGGGAGATCAGTGTGACACCGCGCTCGCCCGAGAGACGAGCCCTTACATGAATTACAAGTTCGCGCGCACAAGGCTCGCACATTAGGCCGCCACTTACGACGTGTGCGCACATACAAACGCACGCATTAAGTACGTAAGCGCGCACCGCCGGTAATAATTATCCTTCGACGCGTGAACACGTTCACGTGCGTAAACACGTCGAGAAAGAGAGCATTGGATATTCCCCGTCGTCGGGAGCCCGGCTTGACAGTGAAACTTCAGAGCGCGCATCCCCGCCCTCGAGACGTCCGACGGAACAGGAGGAATCGTATATACATAAGTATATACAGCTATATACATATATTTATATACGTCTGTTTGCATCCTTCGAATTAGAGGCCTTCGACGACGCGCGCTATTGCAACGTACGACGACGACCGGCCGACGTTCATCGAGATGTCGCATAACACGAAGAATCTCGCAGCGGCGGTGCACGGGGGCAAAAATCAGGTGAGTGGCCTTCTATTTATAGAGCCGCTGCTGCTAAAAACAGCCGCGCGCCGTCGTCGAAATTGATCGAGAGTGGTGGCAACGCTCTTGTTTTCTCTCTTTTCTTTTTTTTTCGTAAAATAAGAAAAGAGGAGATAAAATATAGCGCGAATTTCGAAGAACACGGGGAAAAGAAGCTAGCTTGGGAAATAACGAGTCAAAGCTTCCGCTCCTCGCGTTCGGCCGGCGAAGCGTCGAGGTAAAATTACTCCTCATGCTCGCGCAAAGCAATTATCTCGCGCGCGCGACGCAGCCGGTAAAATGAAATCGCACGTGCCGCGAGAGACGTGACGCGGAAAAAAAGGTCGCGTCATCTTACCAGACCAGATATAATGTATCCCGCGAGAGACGTGTTTTTTTTCCTTAAAGAGAGAAAAAAAAGGAAGAACTCGGCGGCCTCCAAGGCTATATACGAGCGTCATAAATGAAACCACGTTCGGCTCATTATTTATGAGGCGCGCGACGAGGCGTATTTACACAAAGTACCATTTCTTCGCCGCGTGTGTTGAATAAATAGAGCGTTTGGGGAGAGTTGCGGATTTGGAGACTTGAATTTTTATAATCGCCCGCGAGCACAATAACCGAGCCCCGACGAAGTCGCGTTGAATGTTCGTCTGACCTCCGGAGTTTGAACGGCGTTGGGCGCGCGCGACGCGCTTGGCGCCGCGAAACCATGAATTTCAATTGCTAATTCTAAAAGATATGATAAGGCATATTCGAGTACTTGACTCCGAGCGCTCCGAGACTGCCGCCTATGCGCGTTTCTCGCTCGCTCCTTCGGACGTGCATACATGCGATCGCCACGTGGCCGTCCGTGGCCGCGTGTAATCGCCGACGACGCGTCGTCGCGAACCAACAGACTTAATGTTACGCATTAATATCGCGGCGGTCCGTCTGTCTGTCCGCCGCACAATGGTATAACGCGCTAAAGTGTGTCGCGTAAAACCGCACTCGCTAAATGCGCGCACCTCGAGCGTCACGAGGTGAAGCACACATACGCGCTTCCCTCCGTTTACACGCGCGCGCGCCCACATCCCGATTACGTACGGTCGTGTGTATGCGTGTAACAATCGCATAATTACGCGAGCGCACTTAGGCGAAGGTAAAAAAGTTGTGCCGCGCGATACACCGCGGTTACCGCGCGGTTATTGCGCGGCTACTCGCTATCGCTTATTCCGCACCCAGTTCCGCGAGACCGCCGAAATGAACGCTCGAGTATCGCGTCAGGCGGGACTCTTGCGACAAATCTATTACTTAGCGTTAAATTTACACGCAAAACTGCATAGTTGTTATTGTATATAGATGCGGAAAAAAATTAGTCTTAATTAGTCTTATAGATTTTATAGCCAATATGACGTACATGATGAAGAGAAAATAGTCTTAAATCTATAATAGATATTTTCACGTATAAACAATATTATAATATTCTTAGGAAATTGCCAGTCTCGATTTGATTGAATTTGTATCGACGCAAGTATTACTTGCGCACAATTGAAGACTAAAAATCTTCGAAGAATATTACAATATTCTTGATTATATATGTGAGAATATTTGTAATTGATTTAAGACCATTTTTTTCCTGCACATCATAGTGAGATACTTCACTGGCTGCAAAATCTAGAAATTCAACTGTCTTTCGAGTGGTAATCAACGTAACGAAACATAACAAAAGTGAACACAACGAAATATCGGGACACAATAAACGTTAACGTAGGATGTTCGTTTTTATTTTTCCTCCGGCATAACAACACTATGTGAAACGTTCGGACGCAAATTCGATCGCTCCCCCCTTATCGTAACACGGCGTAATGCGAGGTCCGTTTCCCCGCGTTACGCGATACTGTTCGATCGATAACTTCGTTATGATGACAAATGACGTAGAGATACGGAAGCATTTTTTCGCGAATCGCACGCTGTGCGTAACACTCAACCGGCAATTAGCGTTAACTGTTTTCTTTTTGCTCGATACAGCGAGCGATAATATCTCATGCCCATTTGAGTCACCGCACGATTGCGACAAGCTGTTCGAATGAAAAAAAGAATTTCCCCTTCTACTTATCATCGCGAGGTCGCATTCCTTGAATTAACTAATACGCGCGCGCGCGGTATGCGCGATGCGTCATTTATTATCACGAATTACTTCCGAGTTAATGAACTTTCATGAGTCGGGAAATTTTATCGAGAGATATCTTGATGAGATACGCCCGCCGTTCATCAATACAATTTCGTCCGTCTTAGCTCGGCGCCCAGCCGCGTTCCGTTATCGCGAGGTGATAAACGCGCCGGATATTGCGTCTTGGAAAAAACAAACTCACGTACCTTCGCAAGAGGTCGTGATAACACGTATGTTCATAGAAATCTTCCGGTTCAGTCTAGGAGAACTCGTGCACGCGAACTTGCGATTTTTCCTCTCTCTATCTCTCTTTCTCTCTCTCCCTCTCTCTATCTGATCGAGCGGAATATAATTCTTTTTTATCGCGCAATAAGATTTTTTATAACTCGCTTTTGGCGGACACGAAAGTCGGCCGCGGCATAAAAGCGTATTTTTGACCAGCCAGCCTTCGCGAACCGAGTTATTCAACATGCAATATTTACCTTTGCGCGATTAGCCATCGACGTGATGAATTTCAAATCGTCGGACCTGTGGGCATGCGCTACTTACTTTTTTTCTTTTTTTTGATCGCCGACTTGGCGTGACGCGAAACTGCGCACCATGTGCTCGAAACTGTACGCGAAATTTCAAGCTGTCACGTATCGCCGAGTATGTTCCCGAGTAGAAAAATATTAGGGAACAGTTA